ACCCCCCAGCCATAATCCATTCCAAACTCTCTTTGACTGCAGTGGGATTCCTGTCTCATCACAAAGTAGAGGGTACAACCCAATGTAAATTGAGGTCTAATAATAACTGCTGAAGAGCAGTTACACCAAATGCACTGAGAAAACATGTTTGCACTTGATGCACTGGAGAAATTACTCACTAATAGTTCAGCCACAAGAATGATACTGTGAGAACATGAAAGAGCCGCTCCTCAAAAGTATTTTGCACCAGTTAAAGCTGCTGAATGATTAATCCTCTAAAGGCTTCTGACTCCCATCTCTCTCTTCTTCTACCAATGCGCAGTTGCGACAAGATGCTTCTAGTCATTATTAACATCCTCAATTACTCATGCAAAAACCCCAGTAATGCAGGACATAACAACCCTACTACAGTCTGGCAGATCAGAGTTTTGACAAAAATGTATGAAAAGAAGCTGTGGATGAAAAAAGGCATTTGGGGCCAGACTCAGCCACATGACACACGTCAAAGAAACCAATGTGCGCGTGAGCATTTGCTTTCTTATCTAGCTGAGTTCAGAATCTGAGCCTGGGGCTTTAATTAACACTTTGAGTGTGCAGCATTTGTTCCCTAATTAGATGGTAAGATGCTTAAGGGAATGATGAACACCTTTTTCACTTGTTATTTCATAAATTCTTTCTGTTCTCAGAATTCAAAAAGAGATCATGATCTCAAACCAGTGAAGTTGTTAATATCCTCCTTTGCATTTATTGGTGTGAAAGAGACTTTAGCGGTTCTTTTTCTAGTAGCTTGAGAAAATGTCAAACAGAAAATGTTAAAACAACCCAGTGACGGGGCCCTCTGAACGCCTGAGCTTTACAGCTCTCCAGGGAACGACTGTGAATCAGATGCTGAACGCATCGGCCTAGAGAAACGTCATTGAACAGGATGCTACAGCTCTGCATCTGCTGGCGGGGGAAAGTGAGAAGGGGCTGGGGGTGGGAAGACAGGTACTGGAAAGGAAGTCATGTCCTGAAACTGCCCCCCAGTCAGGAAATTAAGACTACTGTGGAGATTTTAAGTGGGATACTTTGTAACACATCTTCAAGTACATCTCATCTCACAATTTTGATATCCGGAGGTACTAGGTGTGTACAGTGATGTGATACAATGACACCAGGAGATGGAGGGTAGAAGGAATATTGCCCTGGAAATTATGAATGAATCCATCCAAAGACATTTGAAAGACACATATGTATGCAAATTCTAGTATGTATTTGTCCTGTCCCAAGAAGAAAGGAAGCAGATGGAGGCGTGTTTCTTCTAATTTACTGCCTGCTTTTTCACACATAACCTCCACCCCCTAAGGAAGCCGATCTTTCTACAGAAGTTGTATAAAGAAAACCTGTAGGTGGGTTCCTCACTCTCTGCCAAACATCTGGCAGCCTTTGAAAATCTGCCACTCGGCAGCAGCTTTGCCAACTGCTTCCTCTACAGGCCAGTACTTTTCTCACCATCACACTGGAAGAGGAACAGCCTTCCCACAAGTCAGGCTAAAGAAGAAGAAAAGGACGTGTGATTTCATGTACCAGATCCTTCAGAATTGAGGACACAAATAATATTGTCTCCAGCATCTGGAGAGCATTGAGATTACCAAGATTTTCTTCCAAACAAGTATGATCATTCCCAATTCCCTGTTCTGTTTGTAACCCAGCTCCCCCAAACAGGTACACGAATAATTGACTCAACTGCCTTGGAAATCTAAGAGCCCAAATCCTTCTCTTCGTTGCAGCAGAAACTGTGACTGTGGAAATGCAGAGTAACTATACCACGGCCTTAGAAAACCGAGAAGTATAGCTGCTGACACGAGGGGCTTTAGGCACTGCCTGGCCCACAGGTTGAACAACCAACTGAAGTGCGATCCTTTCAAAAGCCAGGGAGATGTTTTCTGGGCAACTTAGCTGTTTTGCAGAAATTGGTTTTTCAGATTGTGGAGTTACTAGGGACAACATTTTTAGGAGTGATAATCTCTGCTCTTTTTTCTGTCAGTTGTTTGATTAGTCATCCCAGGCAGCTGCTCCCATGAAATGTGAAAAGGCACCATTATATAAAAACTTGCATGAGCAAACTAGCTGGTAATGAGAAGCAGCGACCCTTACTGCATCCTCAATATTTATACTGGTAAATCTTCACTTCGCTAGAGCTGCTCATGATTTGCTTAAGGACATAAAAAGCTTATTTTTTCAAGACAAGCACAGCATATTTCTTTCTTTTTTTTTTTTTTTTTTTTTTTTTTACATTCAAGATGTTGCATTTTAAAGATATTTACCACATCAAATTCAAAAGGCTTCCAGGAAAAGTCTACCATTGACTAAATTTACAGTTTTCCCATACAGGCATTTTAGGGACATTTTAGGTAAAATGGAAAGAAATGTCAATGAGATGTGTGTCTGTAGGAGGGAACATTAACTGTCAGTTGCCCCAAAATAAAAAGTCTTCTATATCCTCACAGAAAACAAGTTTTTTTACTTTTGAAACAGAAACGTTTTTGCAAAGATTTTCATTTCAGCTTTTTGAAAAGCACAAACAGCAGCTTTTCAAGGACAGCGTAAAAACACTTTGAGCAAGGGTTTAAAATACCCTCTTTGAGTGTGTTGTTGAAAATGGGCTATGAATTTGCCACCGGTTAACTGAAACATGTTCCTCGTAAATGAAATTTCCTGTGTACACAATCCAACCATACCTCTGGGACAAGACATACACTCAGTAATTAATCACAACATTACTCAGCCTTTTTGGTGTTTACCACCTTCCTTCCGGCAATAAACTCCAGAGCTAGTGAGATAAGCATCATCCAGGAGCAGAACAACAGAGAAAAGGCAGCAGCCTGCAGAGGAACTGAATGCATTTCCTTAATATGTTCCACTGCCTTTATGCTCATAGTTGAAAAAAACAACCCAGAAAGATTCTGTTTAAATCCATGCAGAGAACAAATATTCTCTGCTGTGTTGACACCTGCTTCAGATTTAACAGTGTATGCAAAATATTTTTTCTGCATGCATTCAGACAGGAAGAGAGAACACAGGGGATTAATTTTTCAGTGTATTGTAGGAGGCGATAGACATGTAATTCACCCTGACTTCAGACCAAATACACCGTGGAGCGCTTGCTCCTCTATGATGTTTACTGGCATGCCCTGACTGCATTTAAGGCTCATTGTAGTGCCAGTCTTATTTCCCAGGGACACATGCTATAGCTAAGCTAGCACTCAGCAGGGCAGCTTCTGCTACTGTTTACTCTCACATAAATCCCAGATCACTCTGAGGTAGACTGAGTAGAATTTACCTCCTTTTTTTTTCAGTAATCGGGCCTTTTAGTAGGATATAGTGGGCCTGCCTCTCCTTTTACGCTGCTGCAAGTCAAGCATTACTTCATTTAAGT